ATAATCGGTACATTGCCCTGGGTAAGTGTCTACCGATGTTCAGCCTTCAATACATCGAAGTCGTTTTCTTATTCACTTGGCTACAAGGGAAAGTCCACGTTAATCAATTAATCTATAACAAGAACTGACCTGACGGATTTCACATCCGCTAATTCCGAGAAAACGGATTGTGCAACGTAGATGTCACACTCAACCGGAACTGTTTCTTACAGGTCTTACCAAAGGGGTTTTCCCTTTCGGTTCTCCGCTTCATAGGCGTCGCCAACAACGTCATGTCACGCGCTAAGGAAGCTATTTTAAGAGTTCACTCATTTTGCAAGAGACACAAAACGAATTAGTATCAATCCGAGAAAAAGAAAATTTCGGTTTATCTTTGAACCAGTCCTCTGATCAAGCATTACCATTGACAGCAAACAATTCCATCTAAATGTCTCAGTTTCCATATTTGACCTGAACGAAGCAGATTGCAGACATGGCATTGAGCAAGACGAATACTGCAGTGGTTCTGCTGGTCGGCTTTGTCAATTATTTGGAATGGGCTGTAGTTATGACTTCAATATACCCATATATCCTTTCTGTGAGTATCTATTTCTTTGTTTGGTTTAGGATGTGTTCAATTTGCAGGATTTGCTTGTGACGATTTCGTTGAGTCCATGAAATTTTAAAAACGTGCCGATCAAACTGGAAATGGTTTTCCACATTCAAAAAGTATTTCTTTTTCCAAGTTTTCTGTTGGCGAGCTTTACAATATTTCCAGGTAAATTTTTTAGTAAAATTCGCTGAGAGAAAGCATTTTTAGGGAAACAGGACTCGATCTTGAAGTTTCGACTGTGAAGTTTGCGGAAGCGAAAAGTGAATATTTATTTGCTATATGCTACATTTTAGCCATCGTTTTCCAATTCGCGATTTTGCCTCAGAGTTTAAATGCGTAACAGCTGGTACATAGTCTTATAAACTTCAAGTTTTAATTTACTCCCAAATGCAAACGATCAATACGATCAATGAACATCTTGCAAATGGTTTTCTTCGAAAACCTAGCGTGACCCGAGATGTAGTCACGTTGAGTAACACAACCGGTTTGTTTTTTCTGCTGGTATTTGCCACTAAAGTAAGTCGTTCAGGAAAACAAAAATTAACTCAAGATATTCAACTTGAAGGAAATTGTATGAAAAAGCAGGCAAGGGATTCATCAAAGGTCATACCAGCAGTTAAATTGTCAGAAACTTTACCAGTAATCTTTTAGGCTATTGATTTGTTTTAGCCCGGATTTTAGTTAGGTGTAGTTGGTGACCTTCGAAAAACGCAGTGCATCAATAGGATTTTGTTATTTTAGTTTCCCTCCGGTATGTATCTAAAGTAATTAATTTTTAGATTATTTTTTTATTTTTTTTTTCCCCTCCTCTTTGTTAGCTTTTTAAATATTTTTTTTTATTTAATGTAAAGCGCCATGGACAAAAAGTGGATTGGCGCTATATAAGTATTTTATAATTATTATTATTGTTAATAACTTATTGTTATTATTATTATTATTATTATTATTATTATTATTATTAAAGTAGGTTAACCGCACCATTTTTTCCTTTCAGCTATCTAAGAATAGATCTTCTGCCGCCGTATACCTCTCCTTGGCCCAGAGCTTATTTCCCTTGGGACAAGGAATCTCTCAGCCACTAGCCAGCCTACTTGTCAAGAAACTCCGTCAAATCAAGATTGTTCTCTTAGCTTCTCTGACAATCGCCATTGGTGGAAATGTGACGTACATTGCTGCGCAGAAAGCCAACTCTGTTTTGCTTATCATTCTGGGAAGAGCGTTGGCTGGTTTCGGTGCAGGTGAGAAAATTAACGAATATTTCGGAGTCCTTGTCGATAATAAGCCTTCAGTTCTCACGTAAAAGAATCCCGGTAGCCTCCAGTAGGAGCTAAAGGTAATGATGCCTCGAATTCGATGCCTCGTATTTGATCAACTGGAAAGTCTTTCTATCGAAATTAGTAAACCAAGAAGCAAATCTTTTATTGTTACTACATGGTACAGACCTCCCAATTCACCTTATTATTCTCCGATTTTGAATCTCTTGTTGGAAAGCTAGATGCTGAAGGGAAATAGTATTACCTTATGGGTGACCATAATTGTAATATACTCCTGTCATCTCTGAATAATGTAAATACCCGGGCCCTACTAAACATCACTAATATTTACAATCTAAAACAACATATTAACGAACCGACAAGAGTAACGCCTGTGAGTTGCACTTTAATTGATGTCATTTTTGCTAGTCACCCGGACAGTGTATCTTGCTCTGGAGTATCTCATGTCGGAATCAGTGATCATAGTTTGATTTATGTTTTTCGTAAAATTTCATTGCCATCGGCCGTCAAAGTAGGCTCGATTACCAGCCGCTGTTCGGGAAAAGAGCTCGCGCTCCTCTCCCGAACTCTCTTCTCGGGGAGGAACGTAGATCGGACTCGAGAAAGCGGCGGAAATTGTTTAGGCAATTTAAAAATTTCGATCGTAATAGGTTTCGTTCGGACATCTTGGCTCAACCGTGGGCTGATCTCACGGGAATAGCAACCTCCTTCGATGAATTTGTTAACCAAACCAACAGTTTGCAACAGTTTGCACGTTTTGTCCCACCTAAATAAATTATGCAAGAGAAAGGCGACAGGTCTTGATTCTGTGTTAGCCAGACTGCTAAGAGAATGTCCAGATTTAATTATACTCTGGGTCACTCGCCATGATATTCAATCAATCTATCGACACTGGTATTTTTCCCGATGAATGGAACATTGCAAGAATCGCGCCTCTTTTTAAGAAAATTGGAAGTAGGAGTGATCCTTCTAATTATCGACCGATATCGATTACCCCGGTTGTGGCCAAGGTTTTCGAGCGAATTATTTATGATCAGTTGTATCATTATCTAAACGAAAACCATCTTCTCAGTAGACACCAATCTGGTTTTCGCTCGCTTCATTCTACAATTACTGCTTTGATTGAAGCGACTGATAACTGGTCTTATTAATGCCGTTGTATTTTTAGATCTTAAGAAGGCCTTTGATACTGTGGACCATATTATTCTTCTTTCGCTGTGGTGTTCCACAGTGAACGATTCTTGGGACCCTTCTATTTCTATTATACATAAATAATTTGCCTAACTGTCTCCAGCATTCCCAACCAAGGATGTACGCCGATGACACTAGTATTACTTTTGCTGGTAGTGATGTTGATGGAATGAAGAATTGTATTAATCTTGATTTGGAGAGAATTCGTGTGTGGCTTGCAGCCAACAAACTAACTTTAAATATGACAAAGACAGAATTCCTACTGATTGGGTCTAAGCAAAGGTTGTTAAATTCTACTGCGAATCCCACTGCCACAGTTAACCAGTTCCCGATAAAGCAAGTCTCGACTGTAAAATTCTTAGGTGTACACATTGATGAAAATCTTACTTGAGAGTGTCATATCAACGAGCTTTCTAAAAGGATTACTTCTGGTATAAGCGCCATTAAACGTATTAGGAATTCGGTCCCATATAAGACTCTACTTTCCATCTACAATTCATTAGTCCAACCTCATCTCGATTACTGCAGTTCGGTGTGGGGATCCTGTTCTAAGAGTCTTTCTCAAAAGTTACAAAAATTACGAAATCATGCTGCACGTGTCATAACTTTTTCAAATTACGATCGTAGTAACGATGAATTGTTGCGAATGGTAAACTGGGTTAAACTGGACCGTCAACGCCTTGTTGATAAATCAATAATGATGTATAAGATTGTAAATAATATGGTTCCGGACTATCTTAGTTCGTACTTTGTCTTCCGTTCCGATACCTAACCTATCACTTAAGAGATAGTGCCTGTTCGCTTGCTATTCCACAGCCCCGCTCTAATTATTGTAAAAGAAGTCTGTCCTACATCGGAGCTGTACTGTGGAATAGTTTACCCTTGGATATTCGTCAGTCACTCTCTCTTGATGAATTTAAATCTGAAATGAAGAATTATGATTTTGATGGTAGTCTTATGTAAGTTTTATTTTGCTTTTATACACAGCTTCCTTGTAAAGAAGGGGTTTTTTATCATTTCTGTTATTGCAGTAGTTATTAGTGATTTAGTTAGGCAGTTAGACTATTTGAGCTTAATATTGTTAATTAACCCCTGAAGGAAATACCGTGTCTAAATAAAGATTTTACCTTACCTTAGCTTACCTAGAAACTCAAACGTTTTAGTGGTAAAGGATCGTCATTTCCTGGGAGAGGCGCTCCTATAAAAAAAGAAGGGGGTGCTCGTGGGAAATTTTTGAAGAGAACTCCTAAGAGGTACCAAGATCTTCTTTTGAATTGTTTTTTTCCCCTAAGAAGTACCAATTCTAAAACAAGACATTAACTGACACTTTCATAATTTTTTAATAGCGATAAGGACGACAGCTTCAAATACCTTCTACGCTTAAACTTGATTGTCATATCTTTTTCGCTTCAATACCCCAAAGGTACCGCGAAAGCTCTCGCTGTGGACTTTTTGAAGCTAAACACCCTAAGAGGTACCAAAAACCAAGTTTTCAGCCCCTAATAGGTACAACGAGCNCAAAGAGAACAGCTGAGCACTCCAATAAGCCTCTTTTGTAATTAGAAGCCTATCGATCTCCTCAGAGTTGTTTGGGGTCTGTACCTGATCAATACATTGAACGAAAAGTCATCTAGAGTGTGTGGGATTTTGTTAAAATGTATTGCTACTTCACAAGTTGTTTTGTTTGTGAGCATATTGGAGTGCTCAGCTGTTTTTGAGCTATTAAGAGTAATAGGTCTTTACTCTTAATACTGATTTTAAAACTCTTAACATTAGGTACTTGGTGACCTTCGAAAAACGCAGTGCATCAGTAAGATTTTGTTATTTACAATGTTTCCGTGTTAACGTTTCCATCCGTCAGATCTTTTGCTAACGCACGAAACCTCAGAGGGGGTCCCTCCGGTATGTGTCTAAAGTAGGCTAACCACCTTTTTTCTTTCCAGCTATCTAAGAATAGATCTTCTGCCGCTGTATACCTCTCCTTGGCCCAGAGCTTATTTCCCTTGGGACAAGGAATCTCTCAGCCACTAGCCAGCCTACTTGTCAAGAAACTCCGTCAAATCAAGATTGTTCTCGTAGCTTCTCTGATAATCGCCATTGGTGGAAATGTGATGTACATTGCTGCGCAGAAAGCCAACTCTGTTTTGCTTATCATTCTGGGAAGAGCGTTGGCTGGTTTCGGTGCAGGTGAGAAAATCAACGAATACTTCGGAGTCCTTGTCGGTGATAAGCCATCAGTTTCCACGTACAAAAATCCCGGTAGCCTCCAGAGCTAACGGTGATGATGCCTCGAAGTGTTTAGTAGAATCTCGATCGTTTTAGTGGTAAAGGATCGTCATTTCCCGGGAGAGGCGCTCCTATACAAAAGAGANCCTAAGAGGTACCAAAAACCAAGTTTTCAGCCCCTAATAGGTACAACGAGCACCCCCGTTCTTCAATTCACCAAGGAGAAAAACATGAAAGAGGCAACAATGATGGTTAAGATTGTCACACAAGACAAACCTAGTGTGTCACTTTGAATCAAGCGAGCACCATCCTAGTCAACACAAGCCTGTATTTTATTTGTTCCCAGGTAGTGGAGGAGTTGCTTATGGCTTCATTGGCGCCAACACCAGTCGAGAATCCCGCACAAAGTTCATGTCGTACTACAGAGTTACATGCATGGTTGGAGTGATGTCATCCACGATCGGTAAGAACAACACAAACAATATTCACTTGTCTGCCGGTGATGATAACTAAGGCAATAAATAATAATTATACCATCACAAACATAATGTCGTCTTCATGGTTTTTTTTTTTTTTAGCAGTATTGTCTTCATAAATAATTATCATTGGGATGACCAACAGCAGCATACACGAAGCACCGCCCATATCGTTATTAAGTCTCATTTTCGTCGTTTTTCCACAGCATCAGCAACTTTTTTACCCAACTTTAGCAAGAATGCTCTCGGTAAAGCAACCGGACTCGATGAGTTCTCTGCTCCAGCAGCTCTCACCATCCTCTCCTTTTGTGTCTCGTTAATCCTGGTCACATTTGCTCTGGACGAAACGAACTGCTCTCCAATCGGTGAGTTTGATTAATTTTTGTTCATACTACAGACTACTGAATGGCGTTGATTTAAACGTCAAACTAAGTCAGATCAAACATAAGAAATGTGACAACTAAAACCGTAGTTAAGTAATGAAGATCTGTTACATAACGAAATATTTTTTAAAACGAGTGTTCCATTAAAAAGAGTAAAAACGTTCCTCGTTCACCAGGTAGAACATGTCGCTATGTTCCAGGATATACCGCGCTTGCTCTGTTAATTTCTCCCATCATATAGCTACTCCCCTAAAATGCACGCTCCACTAACCCCTCCCTCTTGAAATCGGGATATACACCAAAGTGTTGTTTGCTTCATATTCGTTTTTAGTTTACTAAAAATGATTGGTTTCAACCATCTCTAAGAAGCACACTGAAAACAAAAATGCTAACTCCACGAACTTTATTTTTAAGGGGGCTCCAACGATGATATGTCAGTGGTACGTTCACTCAAGTCACGTGGTGTACTTCTTGGCTTGATGCTGTATCTATTGAATGGCTATATAACCACGTGGGTTGGCTTTGTGTTACCACTAGTCGCTTACAATCATTTCCAGCTTGAGGTCATGCAGTANTAAAGATGTAAAGACTCTTTTTACGAGGTTCGTTCTACCAGCTATTTAATATAAGAAGTAGCTTACAAAATGATTAAAAACAATTGATTTACTTGTAATAAGTTTTAATTTTCTCATCAAATGACTTAGCGAGGTACAGCAAAGAATCAAAACAAGGAGGATTAGCGAATTTTGTTAGAAGATATGTTAGTAGTGTAAGGGGAATGAACTCGTTATTGACTCATGGTCCCCAAATTGACAATTCAGTTTTTAGGGCTCCATTTACATCAATCTGGCTGAAATGAAAATATTTGTTTGGGCTCAAAGGAGAAAATTTTGGCGCTCTTGGGGGTTCGGTCTCTTACAAGACCCTCTTTGTACGGTCGAAACCTGCCGCAGGCTAAGGTCACATGGTACTTCATTACCACCTTACAACAGAACTTTTGGCCTCTCATTCTAAAATATTCGTACATTTTCTTTTAAATTAACTTGCGTAACACAAACACTTATTTTATGCGATCGAGGGAGACAAAATGATACAATGTTATTAAATTACCATTTATTTGTAAAACAGATCGCACTGTTAAACTAAACATTTCTTTCATGGAAATATCGTTTGCCGAGGTTAATCCGTATCAGTTTATATACTTTCTAAACTTTGACGTCGATAATAAACAATACAATCCAGTGGCAAAAGGCCAGAGCCGAGTGTCCGAATTATGGAGGTGTCCGTAAGGAGAGGTTCAACTATACCGAACTTATGAAATCACTGAACTCTTAATAAAGATGTAAAAGAAACGTAATGTTCTATTGTGCGCTAGATTTTGCATTCCAAGATCCTCAATCAAATTGTCCTCTATTGTAGAAACTTATTCGTTTTGTCGAGCGTTACACTGTTTTCCTCTTAAAAAGATAAAAAAATAAACCTCTCTGTCTCGAGCTCAAGTCATTTTTCCCGAGGTATGCCTTTCAGCCATTTACTATCTCGAGCCCCGCCTTGTATTTCGTTTTACTTTGCGTTTCCGCAAGATTTCAAAAACGCGGAGTTCAACTGTTTAAGCGGAGAAATATCAGCACCTATTTTCAGCCCAGAGTAGTTTATTCCTTTAGTGTATAGCTAGTGTACTGTACTCATGTATTCAGTGGATGGAGATGCTATAAGTTAAGAAATCGTTCCCCTGCCACTATTCTACCCCTGAGGAAGTAATCGTGTCAGGCGCGGATCTGGGATAAATTGTGCTCAATTTCCGAAACAACGAGTGCCGAAGGTGTAATCTTCTAGAGGGGTCCTGGGGCATGCTCCTTCAGGCCAAGTTTTGGATTTTAACTCCCCTGAAAGGTTTTCTCAACCTCGTTCCCGCCCTCCCGGAACGAGGAAGAGGGAGGGGGGCAAGATGAGAGATCCTGGGAACGAGGTTGAGGTGATTTCTAAGTCATTCTAAAAATCCTGACCGATTTCCGTAACAGGTCAGTGGAAACCGGTAGGGATCTTCGTCTGGTTGTTCTCCTTTCATTCTAAAAGCAGTCAACAGCTGGATTCTCTTCATGTTCTTGTCTAATGGTTATGCGCATAACAGGAGCTAGAGCTCTGAGGAGAGCAGATAGTGTGCCTGTGATCGATGAATTGACATGCAACCTTGGTAGCCACATTTTTTAAAAAATTTTAAATTTCTACGTTTAGAATAATTAATTCACAGCAGAAACTGACTATAAAAGAATGCGAACGCTTGATAGTGAAATGCCTTATTTGGGCTCTTAGTCACAAAGGGATATGTGTCGTTGGTGATAAAAATTCACAGTATTCATGATTTTGATTCCATTTTATTGATCAGCTCTCTTACATACGGTTTTAGTTAAATTTAAATAAATACAAAGATACAATTTTCAGGGAATGAATGAGCTCATTGCTAATAGGTAATATGTTTTTGGAACTCACTACAGAAAAGTACGTTTCCTGTTCAAATTCCTAACGATATCTTGCAGGAGGCTTTTATTTTCATATACAAAATCGAACTTGTAAAGCTTTCGTCCCAATTATTTAGTCTCAGCAAGTATCTAGTTGTACTTTATGATGGCTAGTCCCAATCCTTTCTTAGCCTCCCCGTCGTAATGTCCATTAACAAACTTCTCGTACACAGGCCAGCTGCGATGATAAATGACAGCCACGTTGTCTGTCCTAAAGATCTTTTTGCTGGAGATTATGAAAGCGAGTTCTTTCAACAAGTAGTACACACCCTCTTGGATGTTTTCGTCTTCTTCGAGCTCAGATTCAGAGGATTCTAAAAGAGGAAGAGTCATAAACAATCAATGATGGTACATCAACAAGATGTGGATGGCACACTGAAGAAAAAGCCGCGCCATCGACGGAATGCTACAGAGAATGATTGTGGCTTAGCATAATAAATACGAAGAGCTGTTAGTGTCTCTAGTAGTCCTGTTATTACTATAGTTACATGGGAAAGCAAAAATGATTCTATTGCCAACAAAACAACAACATCAACAGCAAATTATTAAAGCAAAAGCTAACGCTCCAAAACCCAGCAGTTTCGAGCAGTTAATTTACCCTAATCAACTAGCAATAAAGTTTTGTAAGAAAGCAATCGTTTCATATCACAGGAAACAGTTTGTCTTTATCAATTGTACCTGATTCACGCTCATCGGAAGATGTGACATCTTTGCCAAAGACCTTGGCAGTAGATTTTGCTACATCGAGACGGAAGTCAGAATTGTTTTTATAAAACTTGATGACGAACTCCAAAGCTTCTATGTAAGCTTCGTGTGTATCCACCTCTCGCGTCCAGTCCAACATGTAAAATTCTCCGGCCATTTCCTCAAACCTGCCCACCTGCGGAGAAATTTTACAAGGCATAAAGAACAAACTAATACACTCAATGAACCATCTCGTTTGTTGTTATTTTGTTGTATATTTTGTCTATAGTAGTAAATTAGTGACTTTTTGGGGGAAGACCGAGTATTTTAGTGGGTAAAATGGTGCATTAGGGTGGAGCATTTTAGTGGGGAAATGTAAGCATAATGTACAAAAGCCTAGAAGTTTGAAGGCAAATGCAAATATACCGTCACGCAACGTATCAACAAATCATGGTTTAGAGAGGGGACCTCAACTTGCTAACCATAAATACACAGGAAAATACTGGACTTTGTCATTATGTTATATCTGTTCGTAAAACTTCGGTTGTTGATATGCTTATGTTAGCAATAGATGGGAGTTCAAAGTAATGAAATCATTCAAGTATAAAATTTCTTCCAGCAGTTGCAGACTGCGCGGCGCGACATTGTTTATCTGAATTTTTTTTTTCCGCGGAAATTGTCGGGATTTTCAGCTGACCGAAGCAATTCCAATGTGACATAATTTAAATATGCAATTGCAGACAGTTCTGTCCGAGAAGTTGAACTTTGTATGATTGTTCCTTATTCACCCAAGAATTTCGTGCATATAGAAACAGAAAGCGAATGTTTACCCACCTCATAATACATGGCGCGTCAAAAATAAATTCAGCAGTGATTGTCTCAAACACTAAGACTTAAGGCCTAAGACTCCCTCCTAATCTCAAAAACAAGTCAAAATTCGGCAAACAAACAGCCGATAAGAGTAATCACACTAATGGCCGCCGCACAAAAACCCTCAACCTCGCGATCGTTCCCAGGGTCCTCTCTCCTGCTAGAGGACCCCAGTAAACACGCCAAGTAGAAACCACTTGACAAACACTTTGCTCTCGTACACAAATAAAGGAATAAATATCGCCGACGCTGACAAAGTGTGGGAAATCCCACACAACAAAAATATGCTGTGACGTTCAACAGACAATTTTGCACTTTAAAAGGGCAAGAAAATATCGAGATTTTCGCTTAAAAAAACTTTATCTAGCGTGATTTACTGACCTTTTCAATAGCTCTCCTGGAGTGTGATTTGAGCTGACTGGAATTTTTCTTAGCTCGTTTGACAGCATCCTTGCTTCCCAGAGCTCTGTACGTGTGTTCTGCGGGTTGCTGAGGCACGACCACAATTATTCTTCTCTTTTCCTTTCCAAGTTATTCTACACAGTCCTTGATGACACGGGATTTAAAGTAGGGATTTCCAGGACTCATCCCAAACAACACAACGCCATTGTTGGCCATCACTTCCTGGCCTGTTTGGAAAACGATGCTGTCTTCAACTTGAGCGAGACTGAGGCTCATTTTGACTCAATGCAGAAGCTTCTGTTCTCGGAGAAATACTTTTGCGTAGAAAGCCGCGAGGGAGCGTTGTAACGAGATGTAGAGCTCGCTGGAATTACTGGCATGTGTCTTATTAAGGACTCTTTTTATGTCATCCGCCACTTAAGGAATTGGCCAATCAATAGCTACAACGGCTGGAACGAGAAAAGTTACAATCCCCGGAACTAATTTTATTGAATGACGTGTCGATACATTTAGTACCTATTCACCATAATCGGTCACATGGAATATTCTTTCCAGGAAAAACCGGTAGAACTAATTACAAACAGTTTGAATTTGAATTTTCATTTCTGTTTTCCACTAAGGGGAAATTTCCCCTCTGACTAGTCCCTGCAACTAGTCCCCAGAAGAGTTAACACGAACGGACTGGCCGCTTGTACTTCTCCCACAAAATGTTCACACGAAGCGTTTTGAGTAAAAAATCGCAGGGACTTGTCCCGAAGCTTCAAACTGGTTCGAATTCGTGGGACTAGTAGCAGGGACCAAAGTGTTGGGACAGTTCACGGCAGATGACTTCACAGGCAGCCTCTCTTAAGACCAAGACCGCGTAAGCCC